TGTGCAAATGTGAGGTGCTTGTGGTCCCCCAAGGGGATTGGATAGCTTGTAGCAACATAAAGTATATAGCACCCTTTTGGGTACATGGAATTCTAATCCAGGAACTGGTTAGTTTTGTTATCCTGCTAGGCTTAAAATGAGCCCTCCTAGAGGCATAATGGGGGGATCTCACTGCCATTAAGAATGAAGAGCTGGTGGTGGAGTGGAGCACGTCCTTGGACCTGAAATCCCTGCGCTGGACCTCCTTGACAGAGAGATGGCAGAGACGACTGGCTGAGACAACTGACTGGCTGAAATGACTGGCAGCAGAACCAAGAGGCATGAGACAGAGTGGCAGGCTTGCTGGCCCACAGAGCAAGAAAGCTGAGTGCCTTTGGGCAGGAGGCTTGCTGGTGAAATGAAGTGTACCCAGGGGTCCCTATGGGGAGAGCTAAAAGAGCTTTGTAACACTTGTCTGAGTAGGGCAGAGGCTAGGCCGAGAAGCCAAGGACTCAAGAGAGGCGTGCCTGAGGACATGGCCAAGGGGAGGCTGTCCTGATGGAAGAATTGCATCCTGAGTATTCCTTAACCTGAATTGTAACCTGTTATTTCCCTAATAAACCCCATAATCGTGAATATTGTCTGTGAGTTCTGTGTGGCCATTGCAATGAATTATTAAACCCAGAAGAGAAGTAGTGAGTGTGTGGGAGGGACAGAATAAGCCTTGGGCTGTTGATGGTGATTCTCTCTCTCCCTTGTGCAGTTAGAGGTCAGAGGATGCCCTTTTGGCAGCACGGGTGGCCCTCGGAGAGGCAGATTGGCACAATAGCCACAACGATGGAGTCAAACATGTCTGTGATCGTGAGTATGGCATAGGACTGGGCAACATTTCATTCTGTTGGACATAAGGTCACCATGACTTGGAGTCCACTTGACCCAGCTACGTGTGCATACACATGTGGTATATAAAATTATTTTAGAATGATAATAGCTAACATTTATTGTGTACTTACTATGCACTTTGCATGTATCAACTCATTTAAATTTTGTCACAACCCCATGAGATAAAAACAATCCTTATGGCCATTTTTCAGATGAGGAAACTCAGGCACTGATGAATTAAGTAACTTGCCCAAGTTCACACAGCTTGTAAGTGACAGATCTAAGCTTTGGACCTTGGCCTGGCTGACTCAGTGTTTGCTCTTATCTGAGGTACTGGGTTATTTTTCACTTACTGCTGTATGCACTAGAGCTACTGCACTGCCTTTCACATGATAGGGATGTTATGCTTTGAATAAATAAATAAATGAAGAATTGAATATAAAAAACCCAAACCAAACTTACTGCCATCAAGTTGATTCTGACTCATAGCAACCCCCATTGGGTTTCCAAGGCTGTAAATCTTTACGGAAGTAGATTGTTTCATCTTTCTCCTGCAGAGCAGCTGATGGGCTTGAAATGTCGACTTTCTGGTTAGCAGCCAAATGTCTTACCCACTACACCTCTAGAGCTCCTACTATGCCACCAGTGCTCCTTATAGAAAACAAAGTGCATCCCATTTAAACCCAATTACTATTCAGCATATAAATGAAATATAATTAAATGTTAGATCACTTTGGTATAAATTTTATTCTATGAAAACAATTTTTACAGTACACACATATGAATTCTTTACATTTTCTTACTCATTTGGCAAGGCTCATGACACTTCTAAAAATTAGAAGGATCACTGGATACAGTCCAGGAACAGGTGAATAAACTAGTGGTATTCTGATTTCCTTCTGAGTTATTTAGTTGAATTTTTTTTTTTTCTGAGCGTTTAGGGTTCAGTAGCCCTGAGTAGCATAGTGCCTAAGGCACTTGACTGCTAACCAGAAGGCTGGCGGTTCAAATCCACCAGCCACTCCTCGGAAGAAAGATTGGGCAATCTACTTCTGTAGTGATAACCCTTCGGAAACCCAAGGAGGGGTTACTATGAGTTGGGTCTGACTCCAAGGCACATAACGACAACATGTTAAATCATGAAACAATATTATGGGAGCTCTGGTAGCATAGTGGCTAATTTAGCCACTTGCCTGCTAACCAGACGGCTGGCGGTTCAAACCCACCAGCCACTCCT